TTTTTTTGAGTTGGAGTCTCACTCTGTCGCCCAGGCTGGAGTGCAGTGGCACACTCATGACCACCCCAGCGTCGACCTGCTGGGCTCCAGTAATCCTTCTGCTTCAGCCTTCCAAATAGCTGGAACTACAGGCACATGCTACCACGCCCAGCTTTTGATTTATTGTAGAGACGAGGTCTGGCCAAGTTGCCCAAGCTGGTCTTGAACCCCTGGGCTCAGACAATCCTCTCGTCTCCATCTCCCAAAGTGCTGGGAGTACAAGCATGAGCCACAGCATCCAGCTGCCTCAGCTATTTTAAGGGGGACCTGTCATCAAGGGAGTTTTCCTTTATTTATTTATTTTAATTTTTGAGTAGGAGTCTTACTCTGTTGCCCAGGCTGGAGTGCAGTGGCACGCTCACAACCACTGGAGCCTCGACTTGCTGTGCTCAGGCTATTCTTCCACCTCAGCCTTACAAGTAACTGTAACCACAGGCGTGTGCCACCATACCCAGCTAATTTTTTGATTGATTGTGGAGATGAGGTCTCACCATGTTGCCCAGGCTGGTTGTGAGCCTGTGAGCTCAGGCAGTCCTCTGGCTTCAGCCTCCAAAGTGCTGGGATTACAGGGCATGAGCCACTCTGCCAGGCAGGAGGAGTTCCCCTTTAAATCAGACCTCTGGTCAGTGACTTCTGCTTGACCACCTAGGAGAAACCTGAAGAGAAGCGGACTTAAGCTTCTCTCTCCCTAGGGGAAAAAGGACAATGGAAAATCACAAGTGACTTCTGGCCTGGAAAGTCCTTAAGTTACCTACTTCTACGATGGTTGCCCATTCTGACCCAGCCCTTCTTCCTGCAAACATACCTGAGGTTCCTAGAAGTAGTCAGTTGAGGTTTTGTGGGGTTTTTTTTTGAGTTGGAGTCTCATTCTGTTGCCCAGGCTGGAGTGCAATGGCACACTCACAGCCATCGCAGCCTCGACCTGCTGGGTTCAGGCAATCCTTCCGAGCCAGCCTTCCAAGTAGCTGGAACTACAGGCATGTGCCACCATGCCTGACTTGTTTATTTATTTATTTATCTATCTATCTAATCTATCTTATCTATCTATCTATCTATGTCTTGCCAAGTTGTCCAGGCTGGTCGAGATTGTGGGCTCAGGCAATCCTCTCACCTCAGCCTCCCAAAGTGCTGAGATTATAGGCATGAGTTACCGCACCCATCCTGACAGTTGAGTTTTTTAGACAATGAATTTTGTAATTAGAAGAGTGACTTAGAGTGGCTTTGGAATCATCACTTTTCTTAGCACTGGAAAATGTAGTTTATTTAGAAAATAAATTAGAGACAGAAAGAGAAGAGAAGAGATTCACCTTCCCAAGGTAGGGAAAGGGGCCAAGGCTCAGGAAAACAATGGTGGCCATGGTTTCATGAGCCACATGGCCAGACCAAAGTTTAGCAGAGCAATGGCTGGAATCATCTTTAACTGACAACTAAATGTGTTCTCTAAAGAAATATATAGATCTTTCTCAATACCCACTTCTCAAATATCAGTATCACCAAGCCGTCTCCACTTATTTCCTGAACGTCTTCTAAATGCTTGCCCTCTCACCACTTCCTTGGTTCAGGCCCCATGTTCTCTCACCTAAATTACCGTTATAGCCATCTTGCTAGTCTTCTGGTCACCTTCCCCGTGGATCATTTTACAGATAGCTACTAGAAAGGTCTTTTTTTTTTTTTTGTTAAATCATGATCTCAGGAGGGCATGTCTGGGTGTCAGAATTTTTTTTTTAACAAGCACTGATTTTGATGTACACCCAAATCTGATCATGAGTATATAGGATAAAATCAAAATAGCCTGAAATATGAGGCCTATCTGACCTGAATCCTAATTAACTTCTCTAGATATATTCCCTTTTTGGAACCCTACCCTGTATTCAAAATGAAATCTTGAATGTCATGTTTTCTCAAGCCTGCAAGCCTCATAATGTTCCTCCTGCCCAAACCAGCCAATCGGCCATTCTCTACTATACTGCCTAAGAAATCCTTTTTTTTGAACAGTGCAAATGTCACCTTCTCTATGATGCCTTCCCTTACATCTCCTTCCAGGTTTATTTTACAGAATTTTATATCACTGTACTGTTATTTTGCTTCTTAGATGTCTTTCTTTCTCATTTCTAACTCCTTACAAGAATACAATTTAGCCATCCTGTGTCCTCAGAACTTAGCAGTTTTTATATATATACTAGGCAGCTTAATATATGTTCCTTGAATGAATTGGTTTACTCCTTGAATGTGATGAGAGACAAGAGCAGCCACCAAGTTACCTATCCAGGGGTCAACTTGTGGAAGCAAAAAGATGGGCAGAACTGGGTGGGCCTCCTTACCATGGGGTGTCCCGGACAACTGCTCATCTTGCTAGAGTGAGGATATACAGCCAGCTTCCTTGGAACCATCCTTTCAGGGAGGTCAGACTGTTAATAAATGGGGATTTACTGGTTGCCCATGACATAATCTGTTTTGGAGTTTATGTTCCATTTTGGAAGATGGAAGATAGAAGAATTTGGACGCTTCTCTTTTTTCCTTGCTTCCATTCCTCACCACACACAAAATCTTAAATTTAAATAACCGCTCTGTGACTACAGCCTTCCCATCATTCCCAAACTGGTTCTTCCATGCCACTGAGATTGTAACTTGCCCATCTGTCCCTTTGTTCTGTTTCTAGCTTGTCTTCCTTTCCCATGTAGCTTAAGATTCCACATCCTTCATTTCAGCCACTTTCTTGCCTTTTTTTTTTTTTTTTTTTTTTTTGAGTTGGAGTCTCACTCTGTCACCCAGGCTGGAGTGCAGTGGCATGCTCACAGCCACGGCATCCTCAACCCACTGGGCTCAGGTGATCCTTCCGCCTCAGCCTTCCAAGTAGTGGGAACCACAGGTGTGTGCCACCACACCCCGCTAATTTTTTGATTTATTGTAGAGACAAAGTCTCGCCAAGTTACCCAGGCTGGTCTCGAACCCCTAGATTCAGGTAATCTTTTTGCCTCTATCTCCCAAAGTGCTGGGATTACAGATGTGAGCCACTGCTCCTGGCTCTTGCCTGTATTCTTTTTTTAGTTGGAGTCTCCCCCTGTCACCCAGACTGGAGTACAACGGCACGCTCATGGCCACCGCGGCCTCAACTTACTGGACTCAGGCAATCCTTCCGCCTGAGCCTTTCCAAGCAGCTGGAACTACAGGCACATGCTACCATGCCCGGCTAATTTTTAAAAATTTATTGTAGAGACAAGGTCTCACCAAGTTGCCCAGGCTGGTCTCGAACCCATGGGCTCAGGCAATCCTCTTGCCTCTGCCTCCCAGAGTGCTGGGATTACAGGTGTGAGCCATCACGCCCGGCTGCTCAAGACTTTCTGAACCCACTGCAGCTCCCTTAGTTCAATAAGGTCAGTTGAGACCCTGTGCTCTTAGAGTTTATAATCCTGCATGGGAAACACATGAATGTGAGTATTACAGAAAACTGCAAGATGTTGAACATGTTCTAGGAATCTAACCTTGAAACTCATACCTTGCCTTCCATGGCCCTGAACTCTAGTTTTTCTCTCCTCCCTCTGGTAATTCCTCAGCCTCCATTGGAGCCATTTCTTTCCCCATCCAGCCCTTAACCATGTCCCAAGGGTTTCATCACAGGTTTTATTTTTTGACCTTCATGTCCTCCCTTAAGGATCTCATGTACTCCCAAGGGTTCAATATCACATTTATTTAGGCTGACTGCTTCTAATCTCACCTCCATCCCAGGTATCTATGGAATTCAGATACAGCCACCAATATCACATGCTTGTGTCTTTCCCAGGCATCTCAGACTTACACCTTTGTGTAAGTTTTATACTAGCTGTCCTTAATTTCAAATGACATCCCAGATTCTCTTGCCTCAGTCCCTACATCCAATCTATCACCAAATTCCCTCTCTTTTACCTCCTAATCATTTTTTTTTTTTTTTGAGTTGGAGTCTCACTATGTCACCCAGACTGGAGTCCAGTGGCCGTTCCCGGCCACCACAGCCTCGACCTGCTGGGCTCCGGCGATCCTTCCGCCTCAGCCTTCCAAGTAGCCGGAATTACAGGCATGCGCTACCACACCCGGCTGATTTTTTAATTTTATTGTAGAGATGAGCTCTCGCTGCCCAGGTGGGTCTCAAACCTGCGGGCTCAGGCAGTCCACTCACCTCAGCCTCCCAAAGGCACGGGATTACAGGCTGGACAACTTGGTGAGACCTCGTCTCTACAATAAATAAAAAAATTAGCTGGGCGTGGTGGTGCGTGCCTGTGGTTCCAGCTACTCGGAAGGTTAAGGCGGAAGGATTACCTGAGCCCGGCAGGTTGAGGCTGTGGTGGCCGCAAGCATGTCACTGTACTCCAGCCTGGGTAACAGAATGAGACTCCAACTCAAAACAAACAAACCAACAAAAAAAGAAAGCCTTGAGTGTATCATTAAAAAGATAATTAGGAGGTAGAAGCAACAGAATTTAATGATAGAATGGCAGTAGGGACCAAGGCAGGAGGAAGGGTCTGGGGTGACATTTGATCCAAGTACTCAGTGTATTCTGATACATAGTAGGTGCTCAATAAACATGAATGTAGAGGCCAGATCTACAGGGGTAGTCTCACCAGACTGTGGAAGGTGTCTCCTAGAATGGATATGTTCCAAACTGCACTTCATTCTCAAGTTTTGTGGCCAATGATGGATAGAAGGTAGACTGTGATATGTATAGAACACAGAACCTTGGGGAGTTCCATAACCAAAAGGAAGAAGTAACAACAGCCAGTGGAGACAAAAAGAACTGCTTCTCCTTTCTTTCTCCCTCCATGTTTCTAGTGGAGGGCTGAGCCCAGCATCTCAGATTTCTGTAACTACATAGGCAAGCATTTGGAGACTAACCACTTTGGTATCCTAACCTTCAGCAACATGTTGGCCTCTGAGTAGAGAGGAGGCTTCCAATAGCAAAGCTCCCTGCCCTCAGCAAGCCCAACACCATGGGAAAGGGAGATGCCTTGGAGGCCACACCAACCACCACAACCTACCGCTCTGTCATGGAGGAGTATGGTTATGAGGTGGGCAAGGTCATTGGCAATGGCTCCTATGGGACGGTGTATGAGGCTTACTACACAAAGCAGAAGGTCGTGGTGGCTGTCAAGATCATCTCAAAGAAGAAGGCCTCTGACGACTATCTTAACAAGTTCCTGCCTCGTGAGATACAGGTTGGAAAGGGAGCTGGTAAAGGGAACTGGAGCTTGGTACTAAGCTGCTTGAGGCTTCTCAGAAAGGGTATGGCTAGTAGGGGATGGGCCAGAAATCCCTAAACCAGAACTGAATGTCTAAGAAGCTAGGAAATTTTCTTGATGTAAATTCAGCTTCTTTCCCACTCATCCACTCACCTCCATCCCCCCAAAAGTAAAAGTACAAAACATAGGGTTTGCCCATAGGCCACCAGCCCTCTGGAGTTCAAGGGCTGATACTGTTGCAAAGTTGTAAGTAGCAGAAGTACAGTAGGAGAGGGCTGGGAGTGCAGCGGGGGTTTTCCCTTCCCAGGTTTGATGGGTCCTTCTTCTGGAGTCAGGTAATGAAAGTCTTACGACACAAGTACCTCATCAACTTCTATCAGGCCATTGAGACCACATCTCGAGTATACATCATTCTGGAGCTGGCTCAGGGTGGTGACGTCCTTGAATGGATCCAGCGCTACGGGGCCTGCTCTGAGCCCCTTGCTGGCAAGTGGTTCTCCCAGGTGACCCTGGGCATTGCCTACCTGCACAGCAAGGGCATCGTGCACCGGTGAGGGCGCTGCCACTCGGATTGGGGCCTTTGGGGTCTCAAGGGGGCTTTATGCACACTTCCCATTTTCTGCCCTTTTTTCCTCTCTTGAACTCCTTCCTCAATATCTAGGCCCATTCATCCACTCTATTTTAATTATATGGTCAAGGACACTTATAAAGTACTCTGTGTGCACCTTATGAAATACAATGGTGAAGTCCCAGTGGTCCTTAGAGACCATCCACTTTCTGTCCCCACTTTGGGCTTTGCTCACAACTCCATGGCTTTCCTTCCTCTACCTTGTGCCCTTGCAATGATGTCTCCCTCACACCTTGTCTGTCCTCATCTCTAGCTTCTGATCCCTGGCCCTTCAACTCCCAGTCTAAAACTAAGCCCTCTCCCCAGCCTGATGCCCAGCCTTTCTGCTGCTGGTAGGGATTTAAAGTTGGAGAACCTGTTGCTGGACAAGCGGGAGAATGTGAAGATATCGGACTTTGGCTTCGCCAAGATGGTGCCTTCCAACCAGCCTGTGCGTAACAGCCCTTCTTACCGCCAAGTGAACTGCTTCTCCCACTTCAGCCAGACCTACTGTGGCAGCTTTGCTTATGCCTGCCCGGAGATCTTACTAGGCTTGCCCTACAACCCTTTCCTGTCTGACACTTGGAGCATGGGCGTCATCCTCTACACTCTAGTGGTGGCCCGTCTGCCCTTTGATGATACCAATCTCAAGAAGCTGCTGAGAGAGACTCAGAAGGAGGTCACTTTCCCAGCTAACCACACCATCTCCCAGGAGTGCAAGGTAGTAGCTCCCCCAAGAGGACTGAGGCCTCAGGATGACCCACAGGGAGAGGTGAATACCCAACCTAGGCCTCCCAACCCTGGAAGAAATTTCTTCCCACACTAGAGCCATCTCACACTCTAGCCCCTGCCCTATAATAGTGGGGAGGTCATAAAGGGTCAAGCATTAGGCTCCAAACTTTAAATATGTGGGTTCCAGCTTCTATTCCTTTAGGCCAGAAGGGGGTTATGCAAGGGAGGCCCCCCAAAGAACCCTTCCCTTTCCCTCCAGAGAGTTAAATGCCTGGCTTGTCAGGATAAAAATCACAGCTGCACCCACTTTCACCAGAGTGGTATGATGGATTCAACTGCTTTTCTTAGGTCCAGCTGCTCATTGTCTGTGTAGCACAATGGAGACAAACTCAGCCAAGAACTCTTTCTCCCCCACCCTAGAACCTGGTCCTCCAGATGCTATGTGAAGCTACTAAGCGTGCCACCATTCTGGACATCATCAAGGATGCCTGGGTGCTCAAGTTCCAGCCTGAGCAACCCACCCATGAGATCAGACTGCTTGAGGCCATGTGCCGGCCCCCCAGCACCACTAATCCTCACCAATCCTTGGAAGTTACAACCTGAAAATGGCTGAGGGAGGGGGCTGCGAGAGGAGTAACATAAGAGGGGTCTTAGGCTAAAAATTTTTTGTACTGAAAATAAATCTAATTCTGATTTAATTTCATCAGCTACAGTCAAAGACATTCTTTCCTCAAAGGCACCTTAGCAGGGAACACTGTCAAGGGTTAAGAGGTAGATTTCTACCCAGTAATCTTGACACCTGCATTAAGTAAGCAGAGCAATTCACAATGTGACTCATGGGGCAGGGGGTGCTGAGATTAACACCTCATTTTAGGAAGCTTTATTATTCTGACTAGGTATATGCTCACTATTTTATCTTTGTGCTGTTTAAATGTTCAAACAGTGGAGCCAAAGCTCTGGTTGCTCCATTCTAATCATGGCTCCATCTGTCTACCAGTCCAAAGTGATGGCATTTTTTGTTCTTTTAGAAATGGGCATTGGAGGCTGGGCGCGTTGGCTCAAGCCTGTAATCCCAGCACTTTGGGAGGCCGAGGTGAGAGGACTGCCTGAGCCCAGGGGTTTGAGACCAGTCTGGGCAACTTGG